AGAAAAGCTTGGTAATTTCAAATTCTTTCAAAATTGTTACAGTACAATGTTATTTTTAAATAGACAGAGGAAAAATGCAGGAGAAGGCTCAGGACAAGCTGTACTGATTTCCTGAACCACAGAAAAATGTAATGTAAACTTTGCATTTAGACAGCTGTTCAAAAACCTTAGTTCAATTTGATTTCTCCCCATTATTGCAAGCTTTCATATTTTGCCTGGAAGAAAAGTAAAATCTCATATTTAAAATGTAAGGCTTGGATTCTGTTAAGTTTCATCAGCATTGATTGTCACACATCTTTTGACATCCATCTTTCTCTTCCTGATCAAATCTCTGTAAAAAATACATAAGTTGGGGTAAGGAGAACAATAGCTATAATATGGTGAACTAGCTAGCACTTTTTGAAGTTTTTTCATGTGAGGGTGCTTGGACTTTCTGGGAGCACATGGAGCACATACAGTTTCTAAGACAATGCTTAGTGAACAAACCAGGACGGGCTATAGTGTAACATATTTATAAAAAGAGAATCTCTAAATATTTCTGTGCCTCTGATGGAAAAGTATGAAAAACACTGATCTGATTATATTTTACAAGGTGTTTCAGTGCAGTTTTCCCAAAGTTGCTATGTAGATATTCAGCAGGAATGCTTTCATGTGTACAGAAGGCAGAAATGTACCTGGGATTCTGGCACTGCCCTTGTTTTCCAAAAATATCATGGAAAATCACTAACTTTGAAAAAGTCTAATAGGAGATTCAGTAACAAACTAAAACAAGCATCTTGGTTAGGCATGTGTGTATAGGTATTATGAAAACATGTTGAGATTGTTTCCTACTAGTGAAGTAATGTCTTATCAAGAAATCATGTAGGTGTTGTATAGTGAGTTGCCTTTTTCAGTGTTGTCCTTCTTCCCCTCCACCCTTCTGTTTCAGTTCACGTGACAGGACTTTGCACTCATTTACTGATAATAAGTGCACAGCCATCTTGTTTGAAAACTAGAATCAGAAACTGAAACAATTCCGTGTTGCAAGGTAAAATGTCCCTTCCGCCCCAAAGTCTGTAATTTTATGTGTAGTTTAATTGTAAACATTGAGGTAATGTGTATTTGGAGTTCATATTTTTCCACAGCTCAAATTAAAATCTTCATGGCAGGAAATTAGCAATCATAAGAAATAATAACATATTCAGTATTGTCTTTTTCTCATTAACCTAATGCAATGTATTTTTTATAAGAAAGAAAAAAAGGTTGCTAATACCATCTACTCTCATCTGTGAGATATTATCAAATATCTCACAGTGGCAAATTATTTTGTAACCCAATGGATTTTATTATTAGATATTGCAATGAAGTAGAACAATTCCCTGCCTACAACAGGTTAAGAGGAGCATAAGCATTGAATTGTGAAAGCATTTTGAACAAAAAAGAAAGAAGGTTGTTTATAAACTATAAGATTTTCCAGCTGTGCAACTGTTTTTTTCATAGCACTTAAGCTCTAGTTGTTTAAAAAGTAATGTTAAAAGTGTATGTAATTTTGATTATGGAGTCTGTTTCAAGAATCAAGTGGAAATGAATTGTTAAATAGTTTTGGAGGGGAGTGGGTAAGTTTGTAAGAAGTAAGCTTGTAGTTTTGAAGTTTGTGTGCAGTATATGTAATCTGACAAAATCCGTTCAATTCAAAAGTGGAAGACTACAAGACTTAACTGTAACTTTCAATAGTTATTAAATAAATCTGATATTTTCCTTTGTAACCTCATACACATCCAACCTGTAAACTGGGGATAAACACAGCTACCGAGGGGACAGTATCTATAAGAGGAATCACTGAGACAGAGGAGGATGGCAAGGAATAATAGAGAAAGAGAAAAGGTAAGGAAAAAATAATCACTTCTGGATAGGTTATATTTGCCAGGCTTAAACAGAAAAACTGCATTTGGATAAACCATGCTGAGACAAGAAGAAGGAAGATGAAAGAGGAGAAGCTTGTTTAACCAAAACAAGTGTTTGAACAGAATCTGACCACAAATATTGCTTGCTATGCAGTTTTGTAATGGCTCGTTAATAATATGGATTCCATACATCCTGTTTTCTCACAAACATATATTTTGCTTCTGCCCTTAGGGTGCTCTCCAGGTGGATTTTGGTAAGTGCAGACCTGTGTTAAAGCCTGTCAGACCAGCAGCCGAGGCTGCTTTAACACGGGGAGAGCCAGTCGCCAGTAGGGAGCAGTGTGTACTGCTGGCAGGTGGAAGAGCCTCTGCTGTGTGGAGGGAAGTCATGGAGGAGACAAACAGACGCAGCAGCATCCAGAGTAGTGATTAATGCTGGAGTGGCAGTGAGAATAGCAGTACCTGGGCAAGCAGAATTGGAGGAGTCGAGCCACTGCATCCAGAAGGTATTCAGCCTGAGTTTAGATCATGGCACATTAGTATGGGATTCTTCAGTAGGAAGGGATTTGAAATGGGGTAGGGCATGGTTTAGTAAGGTAAGGATTGAAGAAGAGTTTGTGCAATGGATTTTTGATTCTATGAGCAGAAGTTTGGTGATGAAACGAATGAAGTAAAATTAGTTGAGAATGAGAGGAGGAAGACAGGACATTTGAGATGGCTTTTTAAGAAGTGCTTAACAAGAATCGTGTCTATGGCACTGTGGACTGTGAACACACAAGATTGAACTGCTTCAGGTATGCAATGACAGTGATTTGGGATTTTTTGCATCCTGGAAAAATGTTTTAAATTTGGTGAAAAAATGGCCTCATCTTTTTTTCTACCATGCTAAAAAATCAGTTGATCAGCCACACTCATAAAGAGATCTTAGGGTATAGAGCTCAGACAGATCTGTTTTCCTCTGATATTACTAACCAGAGTGGTGTTTGTATGGTGGTGTATGCAAAAACACTTTCTGTGGGAATCCCTAGTGCTACAAAAATTATTTAATTGGAAGTCAAAGTCAGTAAGGCTACTTTATCTTCTTTCTTTCCTTTTGTTTGTTGTTTGTTGTTTATATTCTGCACTGCTGACAGAACTGACAACTATAATGAAGAAAATTAGAAGCTATTGACATGGATTAGTCATTTACAAAACTTACTCTTAGCATCACATCTCTAATTCATATATTTTTCTAATAGACAACTGGATATGTTGTCTAGTATAGCAGTTGTCTAATAATAGCAGTAAAGTATTAGTCCTGAAAAAATGCATTTTTGGCAAAGGAATTGATACATTCTTTCTCACTGATGAACAGAATCCATCCTTTAAAAACATAAGGTTGTGTTGTACCTGAAGGCACAAAGCAAAAGAAAATGTCCATTCTTAAAAGCTTATTTAAAAAGCATTCTGATACAACTGAAAAAGCATGTTATTTGCTTCAGAAATACTTGCAGTGTGCTTCAGTCCAGGCCAAAAGATAAAAAGACCCCTGGAGCTATTATTGAGAAACTTTCAAATGTTAAATGGAAGCTAATGCTGGCATATCACAAGAAAAGGTGTGCCACAAGAAAATGGAAAAATGCCTTTTCTTAATACTTTTTATATTTCTTTATGATCTTAAAATGTCATACAAAATAAGGTGAAAATGAAGAGAATTGCTATAGTTTTTGAGCTAATGATAATTTTTATTTTGTTGTGGTGGGGTTGGCCTCATAGTTCCTATGGACAAAGGAATGGTGTTCTGTTTTAACAGCAAGAATTTACAAGTTTCATCAAGTTCCTTTGAAAGTGAGGAAGAAAGACTAGAGAAAGGGTAGGAGAGGAAGGGAGAGAAAGAGAAAGATTTTTCTACTTACACAGGGCAGAATGAACCTGAATACTTCTGCCTTAAATTGCTGGGTTTCCTGTATTGCTGTAATACAAAATATGCATTTCTTCACTGTTCGTTTGGGGTATTTTTATTTTTTGTCAGACTCTAAAGACTCACATAGCCTCCTCTTGTAGGCAGATATTTTTAGTCTTGCTATTTCAGATATCCTTCATTTTAAGACTTTGATTTTAATTGTTGCCTAATCCTATGATGTTTAAATTCTATCCCTCAAATATTTTACCAAGCTAAGTATACTCACAATTGTTTTTTTTTTTCTTGATGTGAGACTCAGTTACTCCTTTCTATGTTTATTGAAATTAATAAAGTATCAAATCCCTGGGATTGGCATAAAAAGTTGTTTAATGTGTATATCTTATTTTGTAAATATCTTTGCCCTTTGGCTGGCACATTTTTTTAGCAGACTCTGATCAGTATAGTTTGCAACCAGGTGGCTATATAGCCACTATGTTCAGTGATCTAGAAGGTATGTTGGCACCTACCTGGAGGCACATGTTCATTCATGATGACGAGTGATGCTGGTGTAGGCCTTCTTTTCCTGATTGAACAAGTATTCTTTCTAGGATAAATATTTTTCCTGGTTTGTATGACCTCCTAACTTCATGTTCCTTACATATTGTTTTGAAATAATTGTATTTTATTTTAAACCCTTTTGTACTTTTACTGTTTAGTGTATAATGCTAGTGGAGTATCTCTTCATTAAAGCTGACTAGAAAATTACTTACCATCCGACTTCCCTCCCTCCCCCGCATTTCTGAAGCTCTTTTACCATCATGTTAATTGGGGAAAAATAAAAATGATGAATGGATAATTCTGTTATCTTCTGATTTTGCACTGGGTCCTAGGAATTGAGTAGTTTGGGGTTAATCTTTTAACTCTGATCAAAATAATACAGTAGAAATATCTCTCAGCCCAAAAGAACAACAAAAGTGGTGTGGTTTCACCTTGTAAATGCCAAAAAGGCTACTTTTATGGTGTAAAAGTAAAGGAGAACAATTTAATTTTTAAATTACTACTTTTAAAAATAAAAAAACACTTTTTTTTTCCTTGCTAGAAAGGTTTTTGTCAAAAAAATTACAAATAATTTGTTGTGAAACACATTCATAGACTGTTTGTAGAATGAGGACACACCATTCCCTGAATAATAGTTGTAGGACGAAAGTAACATAAACCAGATTTTCCGGTTTTAGAAACTGTAAAGAAGAAGCTTGGTCTTCAATAAGCCACTACACTTGTTTATTTTTAATATCTCTTACCCATGCAAATTAAGAGGAAGGCGAAGCTGCTTGTTTATGTCTTGTGAGCTTCCTGCTTGCAGCAGCACCACCATAAGTCAGTTGGTCTCAAATTGAATTATTTTTTACTCAAAAAGCTTTGCCATTTCTTCCCCTGGTAAAAAGTTCACTTTTAGAATCTAGATGAATTGGATCACAGCAAAGAAACTTTTGGCTACTGGTAATCAATAAAAGTAATTTGCCATTGGATCCATTTATCCCGTTTCATTTTAAATGGGTGGGTTGGCCCTGGCTAACAGCGAAGCACTCACACAGCTGCTCACTCACTCCCTTCCTCCCTCCCCTAGGGAGATAGGGAAGAAAATTGTAGGAACAGGAGTGAGAAAACTCATGGGTTGAAATAAAGACAGGAAAATCACTGTCATGGGCAAAACCACTTGGGGATTTTAACTTAATTTATTGCTAAGTAGCATAAATATTTAATTGGTTGGAGTATTGGGAAACAACAACAAAAAAGGACAAATATTTAATCTTGCAGGAAAAACACATTTCTTCCCACTTTCCCAGGCTCAGCTTCAGATTCCTCTCTGTCACCTTTCTAGTCTTCACTTCACACCTTCTCTCCAATCTCCTCCTGCCACGTTACTGCTGCACGTGGCGCACAGTCCCTTCGAGGAAGCACTGGGTGGCACACAAGGATGAAGTCAGTGCTTGGCTGACTTTCCCTCTGCCACTGCTTGTTGCTCCACAGGCCACAGTCCCTTTGGGCACATACCTGATCCAGTGTGGAACACCTCCCACTGCTCTGGCTTTCTTGTTCCTTCTTCCTCCTCCTCTCTCTCTGCTCCCCACAGCCCTTCTCTCTGTGTTCCTTGCCCCCAGTATTTTTTGCCCTTTCTTAAATGTTTTTCCAAGGTACCACTGGCTTGGCTGATGGGCTCAGCTGTGGCCTGCAGTGAGTGCATTGCAGAGCTGGCTGACACTGACTGTGACTAGCACAGAGCAGCCCCTGGTCTCTTCTCACAAAAGCCTCCCCTGTAGTACCACCCTGGCTGCCAAAACGTTGACTTACCTGTTCTCCTACCTCTTAAGTGACAAGACAAGCATGTGCATCACTGTGCCGTGATGAGAATGAATTCATTTCCCTTGGTGTGACAGGGGTCAGGAGAACATGTGCGATACTTGTGCATGTGAGTGGTGACATGATCAAAATGTTCACTATCCATGTGAATTGCTGAACAGTACCCATGCAGACTTTTTCTTGTCATGTGTCTGGAAGTGAAGTGGGTTTAGTTCTGTGACAAGAACCTCATGAAAGAAATAACAGAATCTAGCAATGACTGGCCAGTCACAAGCTGGTTTGGTTGCCTTGTGTGGGCAGCCCATATGCAGAGTAGGCAGGGAGTAAAATGTGAACAACAGTCAGGCTGAGCTCACAGTCTGTTGGCTGGTCACCTCTGACAAGATCTCCCTTGAAATATCATCCAACTTGAGTAACACTAGCGATTGTAATTTCTATTCTGTCAGAACAATGTCAGAGATAAAGTTTATTTCTCTGATCAAACTTGTGATTGTAACCTAAAAACATGTTGGCTATAGCTGACTCCAAGCAGAGTATTAGCCATATTCCTATAAAATAATCCTTGCTGTTGGATGTAATTACTCTTATCTCTTTTTCTTTAGAGTAATGAAAAATAAAATATGTAAGATGGAATAATCATCAGATTGCTGTGTAGCCTGGAAAAGAAAAATACTTAAATGCATTTCTTGGAGGAAAATTTTGCAACTAAAACTCACGAAGAATTGTCCCTAGTTCTCAGATTTCAGTGGAATTACTCACAGAGTAAGAAACTATTACACCAGAAAGATTAATAGAGCACAGCATACTAATTGAAAAATATCATGTTTGTTTATTACACAAAGGATTTTTTTCATATTTTATGCTGAGCACATGCAGGCAACCCACCATCAAGGTGGGATTTATTTCATGTTACCTTATTCCTTTTATATAAATCTAGTCTAAACCAGGTGTTTAGGCTTTCTATTCTGTGGGTAAAGGTCATGGGCATCACTTCAAAATTTCATCATACCAATCTTAAGAAGAAATGAATCATCCTTCTAAGATGTCTGTCTCTTCCTAATAATTAGAGGGGAAGCCTTAGATAATTAGCTCAAACTAAATGCCTAACTTAGGGATGAATAAAATGATGTGGATTGGTTTGCATCTTGTGTACCTGTTTGCTCTGGGCCATCTAGGCACTTAACTTCTGCATGAATAAAATCAATAGTTGCTAAATGAAGCCTTTTCTTAATTTTTCTATCTGGTACAATCAACTGTATTGAGAGCCCTTAAGTGTTATCATAATACAAATATAAATAACAATAGAACTAATATGAAAATAATAATTCCACACTTTTAGAACAAATTAATTCAAATGCCATTTCTCTTTACTTTAAATGAAACATCATTTTGGCAATAGCATAGCATACTGGGTCATTTTATTGATGTACTACTTGCTAGCTTTATGGCACAAAGAAAAATTGACTGACTGTTTCTCTGCAATTTCCTCTGGTAAACCACTCTGACTAGAAAAGTGATTGTAGGTAGAGGAATATGATGTTATAAAATCCAAAGCTTTGTTCTTGACAGACTCCAGAGGAAGCTAATGAGTAACCTGGAGAGAGGCAGGTTTCGGTGGGGGGTTTTTCTTGTTTTTTTTCTGTTAGGTTTCATGTTTTCCCCGACAGACATTTGAAGACTACCATTTAAGTGAAAATGGTTTAGAAACTGTTTTCAAATTGACGAAAAATAAAATTCAGTGTAAACAGTTGGTTATTTGTGTTACTGGCCCTACAAAGACTTACAAAAGAACTGAGATACCAACCTTCAGGTATGTGCACTATCCCTGTGAAGGCAGTGTACTGGTGGAGTGTAATCTCTCATTCCAATATGACGTGTAATTAAACTTTTTTCTTTTTCAAACACTTTTTTTAAATACTGCTTAGAATATGAATGGAAACTCAAAAGAAGCTGGTTTGGCTGTAGTAAGGCAAAGGTAAAAAGTCTGTACCCAGTTAATGATATGAAGCTGTGTTTTGTAACTTGGTGCAATTCAAATGGACATAACCAAACTCTTCTGCTAATTCCATGTGTAAGACTCACAGTCATGCAGAGCTGTATAGTCTTTATCTTCTTGCATATCATAAACACAGAAGTACAAAGTTTTAGGCACTTAAATTCTTCTTCCTCATGTCCATTTGATACTCTTGAAAAAGATAGTGTCAAAAATAGTAATTTCACACATCATCTGGGTATGTTAGAAAAACGCTGACTCAACATCTTTCAAAACTTTAGCTAGATATCGTGGCTGAGTTTAGCTAAGCCCTCAAAGTATGTCAGCATCATATTGCATTGATTAATGCAGCATTATAAAGTTCTTGTTCTAATGGGCATATGCATAAAAATAGGTACTTCATAATATCGTGTGTCAACAGCTTTGCACATGTCAGTAAGCATCATGTGATATTTAGTGAAGCTGATACAAATTTCAGAAGCAAAACTTTCTCATCTCTCATCTTTCTGTTCCGTCAACATGTAATGGTGATTTACCATATCATTTAAGCTAAGCACGAAATGTATGCAGAGAGGTACAGACTTCAAGTCCTTGTGAAATGGTGAACTGTACAGACAGAGTGGACTTGCATCCTTCATACATGCTCCCACATTTTACTGAATCTGAAAGATTTCTTTTAATTGTTTAGAATACTGTTTAGACATCTGGTCTTCAGGAATTGACATGGGACAGTCACTAGTAGTTAATTACTCATGGTAGGTTTTTTTTTTTCAATTGGAAAGATTTTTCCTTCTCAGTATGGTGCATAACTGGCAAATAAACTGACTACTTGTGCTACCTCGAGGATCTGTTATTATGTTGCTGACCAGGGCTAATAATCAAAATCAACTTTTTAATGAGCATTTGGCTAACAGGAGGAATATTGTGAAACAGTAACCAGGGAAAAGAGTATATTCTCTAGTATCTGTATCTAATTATACAGGGGTTTTATTACAAATAAAATAATGACATTATATCACAATTATATCACAATTTTGTTCTACTTAGGTTATAATTTGCTACCAGAAACAATATTTATTATTTATTAATACTGCCATTAAGTTCTGTAATTTATTTGAGATAAAACTAGAAAATTCTTGAGAGACCATTTTAAAAGACACCTAGACTGAACTTAGATCTGATAGAGGCTCTGTGGTTTCATCTCTATTTGATTCAGACCCAATAATTAATAAGCTTGAACAAGAAACATGATTATTTGTTCTGATGTTTGTCCCAGCTCATGTTACGTGAAATTTCTGTCTTACAGTGAGACAACTTTTAATAAATTGGATACAGATTTTCATTTATGTACATAGTTACCTAAATATGCATACTGAAATCTAATTGAAAATTTCAGAAAAGCAGTTCTATTACATCAAAGATGTAACAGATATTACTGGCTTGTAAGAAAGGAATTAATTGAGAGATATGAGCCAATCTTAAGCTGATACCAGAAAATTATTAATAGTATATAATATTACTTTACCATTTCTTAAATTTAAAAACTTTTTTTTTTCTCATTAAGCTGAGGAATTTTCTCTTTGCAGAATCTTGTGGAGAGCAGAGTTGTCTTTAGTTTGTTTACAGTGATTTTTATGACTTACAGAAATTTTTTGAGTTCTAGCATTCAATTAAGCAAGATACTTTTTTTTTTTTTGCATAGTGCTTAAGGATAGCACAGCGTTTTTTAATGAGGTCAATATCTTTAAATGTTGCTTATTTCATCAGAAAAATACTATACCTTCAAGGATAAAGTATATTAAGCATTTTCTCAAAGGGCTCTGTTACATTAAAAGAGTAGTTTAGAGATAAATTGCTTAATCAAACTTAATAAAAATGCTGAGATGATTCAGTTGGGAAGAGATATTTGAAAGAGTTTCATATAGTTGTTCTTGTAAGAGATGCATTTGCCTGTAGTAAACGGGATAAAGATTATCCAGCTGTTCCTGTCCTCTTGGGTCAACATGTCATGCAACGGGTGAGCAGTTGGCTGATGGATCAGGTGCAAAGCGTTATAGTAAATGGGGTAACATCAGACTGGTGACCTGTCAGTCACCTGCGGTTCCACAGGCTTCCATCTTAGGCCCTGTACTCTTCAACATCTTCATGAACAATGCGGGACTGGAAAGTATACCAAGTAAGTTTGCTAACGATGCTAAATTGTCTCGAGCTGTTGACTCCTTCAAGGGCAGAGAGGCCCTGCAGAGAGACTTACAAAAATTAGAGAGATGGACAATTACCAGTCGTATGAAATTTAACAAGGGCAAGTGCCAGATTCTGTACCTGGGATGGGGTAACCCTGGTTGTGTGTATAGACTAGGAAACAAGAGTGCTGTAGAAAGCGATCTGGGGGTCCTGGTTGATGGCAACTTGAATATGAATCAGCAGTACCCTGACAGCCAGGAGGGCCAACTATGTCCTGGGGGCATCAGGCAAAGCATCACCAGCCAGTCTAGGGAGGGGATTGTCCTGCTCTGCTCTGCACTGGGGCAGCCTCACCTGAATATTGTGTGCAGTTTTGGGCAGTGCAATATAAAAAAGACATTAAGCCATTAGAGAGTGTCCAGAGGAGGGCAATGAAGATGGTGAAGGGCCTTGAGGGGAAGCCGTGTGAGGAGCAGCTGAGGTCATTTGGTCTGTTCAGCCTGGAGAAGAGGAGACTGAGGGGAGACCTTGTTGCAGTCTACAACTTCCTCGTGAGGGGAAGAGGAGGGGCAGGAACTGAGCTCTTCTCTGTGGTGACCAGTGACAGGACCCAAGGTTTAGGTTGGATATTAGGAAAAGGTTCTTCACCCAGAGGGTGACTGGGCACTGGAACAGGTTCCTCAGGGAAGTGGTCATAGCACCAAGCCTGCCAGAGTTCAAGAAGTGTTTGGACAATACTCTCAGGTACCTGGTGTGCTTCTTGGGACTGTCCTGTGCAGGGCCAGGAGTTGGACTTGGATCCTAGTGGGACCCTTCCAACTCAGGGTATTCTGTGATTATATGATAACCATGTCTTGAGTCAGTTATCTTGATGTGGAAAAAAGTCCCAAGCAAACAAATATCAAGAAATAGTGGATTATGTCTGGGTTTTATTTTCATCCATTTGCTCTTACACATTTATACTTTGGTTTTTAATACAAATAGAGAATATGTGTTAGAATCACAAAAACGTAATTTGAAGATATGTAGAACAAGTAAGATGTGTGTGTTTTCCCCATGTACATGTATATATGTGCATATTGACACATGTGTATGTATGTACTCATGTCTATAAGTTCATATACAGTGCTTAAAGTATTGTAGGTTGAAATAGGGTATGTGAAATACAAATTTTTATATGGCTCTTGTTGTAGGAGATTAAGCACCTCTTAAACCAATTCAACTTTGCAGCCAACTTGAAAAGAAAGATGCTACTTTTAGTTCTATTATATCGCAGGGAAAGTGAAGCAAAGCTTTAAAATCGCACTTATGCGTCCTGCATGCAAAAAAAAAAAAGGAAAAATGTTGCCACTTGAATATAAAACACAAACCTTCAAAGCTGATGCCTCCTACAGGAACATCTAAAGTCGTGGAAGTAAAAAAAAAAAAAATCAAATTCGTTCAATGCAAAAAACCAAACCAAAACAAAAGTTAATTGATTCAAAATATACTGTAGCAAATTCATGAAGATTAAAAGACCCATGGAGAGGTATACAGCACAATGCTGTCCTGTCAAAAATACCTTTAATGGTAACTGCCGAAAGCTAGAAGGGTGTGCTAGTAAAATAATTAATTTGCCAAGATTTTTTTAATTCTTTCCTTAAGCATTTGAATTGTCTGTGGACAGAGAGGAAATAGGAGGTTAAGTGGAAGCTTCATCTGATTTGGTGTCATCATTTTCATGTTAGGTCTGCGCATGCCTGTCTCTTCACCAGTACAAACCCTGGTGTGGCACAGATGGCCCTCAGCATTCTCAGAGCTTCATTCTTCTCATGCCATTCCCTTTTTGCTCCTTTGAGTTTCTTTGCTGTTGTCTGTTCCACTCAATTTCATCCATCTGATTTTTCTTGCTTTCCCTGCACATCCTTTCAAGACACATGAATATCTGTTGCAGAGAGAGTACACCAGAGAAATCGTAGTTGCTAGGATTATTTTCTTTTTCCTGTTTCCTTCTTGATTTCACTTCAGGGACATGATATCAGTTGAAGGCAAATAGCTCAGCGTGTGAGAGTTTACAGCATCTTCAGAGTGGAGGAGTATCAGAGACAACTTTTAATAACATTATTTTTGGCTGGGAAGCAAATCACTCTTGTTTATCCTTACAGGAAAGAAAGGTGCATCTACAGTGCAGATTAAAAGTCTGTGACATGGCAGGCATTACACAGCTTCATTAGGACGGTTATTTGATGAAGGGGTAGTTAGATGCATCCCGCCCAACAAAAATGCATTAGTGTTTTAGTAGCAAAGTTTGTGTATGTATTTCCATGTCTGAAATGAAGTAGATTGCTTCCCATGGGGTAAAGCAGGTAATGATCTGTTGCTGCAGTGACAAGATGTTGCCAGCTGAAGTCTAAACCAGAACTGTTCTCACCAAAGTGAAGTGAATGAGTTATAAAGTATACCTTAAGCAGTAAAATAAAATAGCTAATACACTTACTACTGTTTTATCTGTATGTGAAGAACTACTAAAAGAGTTAAAATCCTCTTCACACCTATACTTTCTGACAGAATGCCAATAATGAAGGTTGGGAATCAGAAGTCCCAGTCTGTGTTGGTTGATCCCCACTGTTTTGATCTCTTCTCACTTATGTTAGTCCCAAGTCTTATCTTCCCAAGGTCTTTCCACTAAGTTTTCTTCATTGACCTTAATCATAACTCCTCAGATCTTTCGTCCCAAATGCTCCCATTTCTCTCACCTCTTTTCCTCAGTTTTGTTTTTCTATTCACTGTGATACTATTCATTTCAGTTTCTTTATTCTTCTCTGATTTCTCCTTATTTCAGGCTGCAATTCTCATTTCAGCTGGGTCTCAACTGCTATTCTTGCTATTCGAGTCAGTGTAAGCTCTTCTAGTTCAGACTACTTTGTCTTCTCTACAAATACTTTTACCCACCTCACTGATTTATGAATCTGTCTCCCTTGATGTCTAGTCTTTTTGTACTAGTTCTTTCAGTTCTGGCTTCTTTATCTTCTCTCCAGTTACTTTTATCTACCATAACTCATTGATTTTCAAGATTTTTTTTCTTGACCTGCTGTCCCCATTCTCTCTGGAAATTCTTGTTTCTAGTTCCTTTTTCTACTCTTTCACTTTCAAATTTCTACCTCAGTCCTAGTTTCTTCCACTTTATTTCTTGTCCCAGCATAATCCAGAGTACAGGTGTGACTCATGCCTCATCTGCATTTGAAAAAGGCTGCCTACATCCAGAAAAGATGGGAGTATTAGCAGACACAAAAGAGAGAGAGAAACAGAGTTTGTTCTTTTTGATGTGTATATCTGGCATGGTCCATTACAGCCTACAGGCACTCAGTTTCAGACAGACCATAGTCAATGCAGTTTAAAACAGAGATATGACAAGTCTCTCTTGAGGTAAAGTAGCATTCATAGCATGCACATCTGCAAATACTCCGCTTTTATCATAAAAGCATATTATTGTATGTTGTATTGTGTACAATACATTCTTCTTCCCATTTTATGTTGGATATAGCACTTTTTTCCTGCAATGAGCCTTGGAAATTTTGGTCCTAAATGATTTCAGGTTCTGTGTTCCTCAAATCACATTTGGACCTAGAAACACCCCTCCACAAAAATGACAAAAAAAACCAAGTTTTGCTTGCTGTTATGATTTATTGCTGTGCAGTGCATCTGTGTATGCAAGAGTGTCACTGAGGTTGTAGCTAGTTCTTTGTCTTTATTTAAAGGCTTCATCTCTGTAAAGAGGTAGAAGGGAAAATTAGCTCTATACTAAAAGATGCATTTTTATTTTAAGAACTATGAAATAGAAAATGTTAAAGAAAACCCTGAGAAAAAAAAAAGCCAAATAAAAATACTCAATCTTTCTTTTTGTCTTTCGCTATACAAAGGTCAATAATAGGACAAAATTAGATTAAAAGTAAATTTTTTTTAAAAGGTGTCTATTTATTATATTTTCCACCTCTTCTTACACACCAGGAAGAAGATGGGACCCCTTTTACTTCTAATAATTTGTCAGTGTGCCATAAACAGTGTCAAAACACACAGTGCTTCAAATCCCAATATCATTTTACTGATGGCTGATGATCTTGGTATTGGAGACCTGGGATGTTATGGGAACAAAACCTTAAGGTATGTTGATAATTTAGGGCAGTCACAGGTTTGTATTTAGTTTTTCTATGGATTTTTAAAGTTAAAAGTGCCAGAACATTTAGAGATTTGATTAGGCTTTTTATAAGTAATCAAAGTTAATAATTTTTCCAGAGAATAACATCTTCAATCTTTGTTTTCTTTTCTTGACGAAAGACTTATCTGATGTGTTTATCCTGCTGAAAAGTTGCATTATAAACAGAGAATTGAGCAATCAACCAAATAAGGGTAGCTCTAGGGAAGCAAAGTATAGTCACCAGTTTTCTTTTAAAATATACATGACACAGGTACGATGAAGTAAGCGTATTTTGAAGCACTCATGGTTTGAGACAAGCTTGTTGTTAACCAATTGTAAATGTTTTTCATTAATTTATCTTCATACAGTAATCAATATATTCATTAAAACAAATGTTAATATGCCTGAATAATGCAGCAATGTTCCCCGGAATGTTCCTTATTACCAGCTTAGGTGTGCTGATTTTGTAAACAGAGAAAGTGGTACCTGGTCATTTTGTTTGTGGTGCAAAGGCTTTGACAAAGTTAAATAAAACATTCAGACTAAAAGCACTGTCCTGTCAAATGTTAAATGCTCTTGTTCCTGCTGATGTTAGTTAGAAGTAAAACCTCCTCATAACTGAAAAAAGAGAATAAAGTTACAGATTCTAGTTTTAAACAGGAAACAATTATGTACAATACTGATGCTTGAATTACTCCCATCACAGGGAACAGAATGACTCCAAGATCTATGTTTTCTGCTGTGAGAATTCAGAATTAGATCTTTGGAATATGAAGAAATTTCATCATACTGGTTGTTATTAGTAGGTGATGTTACTGATAGCAAATAAGTCAGTTGGAAAATTAATGTTTCTGACTATTCAGACTTAGATGATAGGAGCACTAGTATGCCTTGAGGTCATGGTCATTAATCTCCTGGGTCAGAGAGCTATTAGAGCATGCTGCAGCTCCTGGCCAGTCTGCATTAGTAATTTTTATCTGTAGAACCAAGGACACAGGATTTCTTCCTGCAGGAACCAATTTTCATCTGCATGATGAGCCAGGTCATAGACAGGTTTCCCAGGCAGATATGGGAACTTGGTTGTGCCCCTGGCTCTAAAATTGCAGACATAATCATGTCAGACATGTAGATACCATTAATATAGAGTGTAACACAGAGTTGTAATTTTTTGAATCTCCTCTATTAACTGATAGCACCATACAACATTATCCCTATCCCAAAAACCTTTTACTGGGGAGAGACAGATGTGACACCAAGTAGGGAGTAAGGAAGCACAACCTTTCTCCAGTCTCTGTTTTTCCCCATTGCTGAAGCAGAAAGGTTGCAAAATTACAGTTCTGGGTCAAGGAATCCATTAAAAAGGATTGCAATGCAATATGTCTAGGTGTAACAATTTAGTATTGGCCATGAAGAGTAGATGAAAGTGGGAAAAAAGATTTTTGGCATAGTGGCACAGTGTCTCAGTTCAGTGTTGACACCTAATGTAAAAATATTTGACATGATAGTATTTAGAACTGCAACCCCATCATGGTGTTGATAATTTACATACAGTAAGTCTGAACTTGATTTCCTTAATAGTTCTTGCCTAAGATGCCTTTATCTTACCATAACTGTTTCCAAATAATAATTTTTGTGTATTCTTTTTTTTTTCCTGCTTATGTTTCTCCAGAACCCCAAATATTGACAGGCTAGCAGAGGAAGGAGTGACGCTTACTCAGCATATAGCAGCAGCCCCACTTTGCACTCCAAGCAGGGCAGCTTTCCTGACAGGGAGATATCCTATAAGATCAGGTAAAACCCCATTGCTTTATTTATATATAAATATCATATTTTACTTACAGTAAACTCTATGCAGGTTTTTTTTGTCTGACCTTTCTTGATATCTTTATCATTACCAAGTTAGGTGAGGATAAATGATCAGTCTTTCCACTTACTGATCAAGCTCATCAAGAGTTGGTATACTTTTGAAATATTTCATATATATGGCAAATTTTTGCATTTGAGAAGAGTTGACACAAAAAATAAAGTCTTTTTAGTGAGTAAAATATTTTTTTGTTTAAATACTGAGAAAAAGATTTGACTGTGGCTATTTAATGTAAGGAGCAGTCCATCTGTCTGCAAAATCCATCAACTTCGTCCAGTATTCAATGACCACTATTCAATTCTCTCTTTGCCTGCCTCCCTAGTTGCATTCAGGCTGCTCCCAGTATGTTGGTGGGCAGCCCAAGTGCTGGACATCACAGAGATGCATCTAGAAAGACGCAATGGAAGAACCCCATGTAAATGCTTCCACTCAGACATTTTGATTTCTACAAAACCTTTTGGTTTAGACAAGTTGTCGGGTTTACCTTTTGGGGGTTTTTCTGTTTTTCTTGTTGTTTTGGTGGGGGGAAGGTTGGGAGCAGGACAGCTCATTAAGGTATTCAAGTTGCTCTTAAGACTGGGAAGAGGAAAGCAAAAAATCCCCCTGCTTTTTACATATTTTTGTTCTGTATCTACCAATATACAGTGTTAAGTATCTTATGAATACATGCATTTAATTTTTCTTACTTTTCAAATACCTGATCCAAAGCCCATTTGAGCAAGTGAAGATCTAGTCTGTTTATTTTAGTGTGCTGGGACTGAGCCTCTCAGTGCTTAGCCATGCAACTTTAACATTCCCTTAACATCATTTTTAGCAAGGATCATTATACATTAATCAGATCACTTGTTCATTAGTGATAAAACATCCTGTCCTTGCTTCTGGGAATGAAAGCAAAGCAAGACTCTGGAGCCTACTTGATACATTCATGCTCATTCAAATCAAGTAACAAGCTTTTGCAAAAGTGCCAGCTAATATAACTTGCTAAATTTTCCATTACATTCAGCTGCAAAGGAAAATTTCATATACCTGTTACAGCTACATTGCTATTAATATTTACTGTAGGTAAAGCAACAGGTCACTTTCCATTGTAATTCTTGTTCTTATTTCTGAAAAATGTTCTTAATTCTGAAAAATTCTAATTTTTTTCTTCACTGATCATTTCCATGTAGCTGCAAAAATTGAACTTTTTCTTACTTAAATTACAAAATGGCTAAATATGGAGTGCTTCCAAATATCACTGAAGACCTAGTAAAGGATTATTACACAAGGCAGTAGAATCATGATGTGGAAAAAAAATGTTATGAATTTAAAACTCCTGCTAATAGAGCTGAAGAAAAAGATTCCAAAATGCAGTATTTGATGAGACACAAACTCAGAGAAAGGTGATGATGAAAAAAACCCCCAAACATAAGTCTGTACTTTCATTTCTGTAGCTTAAGGCAATTACACTGATTTCCATTACAAGAGCTTTAATACATAAAATTAAATATAAATAAATTATATATATATATATGACTAAAACTAAACTGTTAATCAACAAAAATAGCTGGGGTAAAAAACTGAAGTCAACATATGAAGGGTAAGTTGAGCTGTCTTTGATAAACCAGTCTAACAAGTCTTTTTCTCATGTAACCACAAGGGATACCTGACTGAAGATTCTGGTTGTCTACATCAATCATGTAATTTGGGCACTGCAATCATCCAGTTGCATAATTTAGACTTCCTGAAGATACATCTGCACAGATTTGCATAGATATTCTCTGTTCTGTCTGTCTATTTTCAGAGCCAGCTCTCATCTGGAATCCCAGTAATCTAATTTTCATGAACCTGAGCTCTCAAGTTCCTCATCCTGAGAGTAGCTTATAAGATCATTTGTGTTCCTCAGGCTCTCAGTATATAGAAATTACTGTGCCTTATTTAGATATTGTCTTGTTAGCCGATACCTGATGCTCTTTTAGTGCACTCTGAATGCATTGAATCATGTGTCTTCGTGCCACTGGACTGCTGGTCCTCTCCCATCAATGCTGAGAGCCCTGGCTGCTCTATTTCCAGAATTAGATACTCTCTCACTCTTTTGACCTCACGATATTTACATACCCAGTAGTAAGACTGCCTTATTTCAATGTACCTTCTCTTAAATAACCTTAAAAGCTTATAGAAAACCATGTATGAAGAAAGTGTAAATTTGGAGAGTAGAACTTGGGAATGATCTCAGTCCTCAGTTCCATTCCTACCCCAGGTACAAGAAAAATAAATTATTCAAGCTCAACTTTTTTCAGGTTTGCTGAAAAACCTTAGAACATCTACAGAAGGATATGCAGCTGTTTATGTCATGTCTGGCCCCATGGTTATAAGCAGAGACTTTTTTTTCTAAACTTCTCAATTTCTGATGTCAATACAAAGAAGACCTCACTCAGCTAAATGGATGATTGTATCAGCCACTTGCAACATTTAATGTCTGGTTGTAATGTGTCATTTAAGTGATACCACCTGAAACAAAAAAGTGCATGCAGAAAGTAGTTTCTCCGTATTATCCAGGTCTCATTAATTTTCATTGTATTTAGGAATGGCTGCCTTCTCACGAGTTGGTGTCTTCTTATTTTCTGCCTCTTCCGGGGGACTTCCTTCTGAAGAAATAACTTTTTCCAAACTCCTGAAACAGAAAGGTTATGCAACCGCTCTAATAGGTAAAATTGTGCAACAACACATGTGCAACACTATTTTACATTCATTTAAATCAAAAGAACATATAGACTATTAAGGGTTTGCATTAAGCGTTTTCCCCCCACAGCATAATGAATTTATTTTTCTGGCACAAAGCTGAGCACATTCCCATGCCTATGTGAAACACTAATCTGATAAGTATGTCTAATTCACTTGTGTAGTTATAGTCTCACTGTGCAAGGTACTGGAAAAACATGATGAACAAACTGAAAATTAGTCAAGCTCTTGAAAAGTTTTCAGTATAAATAGGAATTTGATTACAACAGAGGGATTGATCACAATAAGGGGTTGATCACAGGGTACATGTCAGAACAGTGGTACAATTCATTTCACCAGTTTTTAAATATCCATAAAGTAGACAGTTATTACCTGGAATAACTGCCTGGATTCTTTTCTTAGTCATCAGCCAGAAAAGGGCATTTCTAGGAAAGTTTTCTTATCCTGTAGTAGAAATGTAATATAAAAATGTATTTCTCTCTCATTGTAAAGACAGTTTAGACAATTAACTGCAGCATAAATATCCAGTGATGGGCAAAGGAATCCCACTAGGTGAATTTTAAATAGAATTGGAATTAATATCCTAAAGGTATAAAATTAAAGATTGGTCCCTTTTTTGTTTTTTAATTTGACCAATGACTTATTCCAGACTGCTTATATTTTAGACTACAACTTGTATTACATAATGTATTTCTGTACTGGAATTGCCGGGGAATCGTTGTTCAGAGAACATAACACTGGAATTACTAAATTAATTTAGATGAAGAATGCATCCAATTTGATTTTTTAAATTGATTTTTAAACAGAAACTTGTAATTTGGGGAGTGATTTTTGTTTAAAAAATCAGGCTGTTTAGCAAGGCTAACAATTCACACCACTGTTCAAAAAATATCTGTATTGTGTAGACAAACCTAACTTTAGTTAGTGTTCCTAACTAAAAATCCTACTTAGCTATATCCTGCTCTTATAAAGGATAAAATACCATGATGTCCTGACAGAAACAAACAAGAAAACCAGAAAATCTTATCAGAAGTATATTTAGTGCAGATGTATTTGAATCATAGTGCAAAAAAGCCATTCATAATTTGTCATGTTCCTCATGGAGTTAATTCGTATTGCTCCATATTCAATTAAAGGCTGGGTTTTTTTCTGTTTGTAACAAGCACTGTAATATAACTCATTTTCTGGGGCTGACCTACTTAATGTTCTTTTTTTAACTACTTTCACTGCAACATGACAGCTTGCCACTTAGATCTCCAGAAGTTATCTCCATGATACTTAATGAACAGTTCTTCCAAGTGGCCTGAATGATAGCTATAAGACCATAAAATGTAATATCACCATATCCTTAGAGTATAATGAAGGTTTCCAAAAATCAAGAAGTGCATTAAAATTAGGGATAAAGCATATGTAAATGAAAAAAAGAAAAATTATGTAGATTTGAAGAGTAGGTAGACAGAATCTGATTCCCAGTCAGCCCATTTTCTGCCTCTGCTGGTGTTCTTACCACAGGGTAAGAACTCCCTGGGTCAGGGAGTCTTTGCTGGGTTCAATCTAACTCAGCAGTTCCCAAACAAATTATTGTCAAATCCTGCACCAGTGATGGATTGGCATAAGGGTAATTTTAAGCCTTTCAGTTCCTCAAACCTGTAATCTCACTTCTTTTTTTTTTTCTTTCTCCCAAGTTGCTCTCTGCTTTATTCTCTAAGGACAATTTTCTCTTCCCTAAATGCATTTTTGCTTCTTTTTATACTTTTTGCTTCTCCGAATATATGCTTCCTTTGGCTTGATACATCCCAAAATATATTTTGGCTATAAATCTACTCTATGTATACACTTTTCTACCTCATTGTTTTCCCCTGTGACACAAAGAAGGTGACATCCAATACATCTGTTAGGAAGACACACAATCAGATCTGCAAAAACCCCAAGTTTTATAAGAAAGAGCAGATGCATAGAATATGTGATATTTCAACAGTAGAAAGAAATGATGATGTTTTACAGGAAATAGCTATTCATAATGCAAAATTCCACTTAGATAAGTATTATTTTAACTACTACTATGATCAATTACAGTTGAGTAAAAGGTTAATTTTTCCTCACCATTTTTATCCAGTGTGTTGTTTGCTATCCAGAGAAGTTTAAAATCTACCTATGTAGTTTATCTCCAAAGCTGAAAAACTAATTGATAACTGGTACTTGTTTCTTTCTTCCAGAATGAGGTGATGTAATATTTGGACACATTACAGTAGTAAGGTGTCCAATCCAAGATTGACTGAGTCTAGAGATTGGGATTAATGCAGTAGTTATTCATAAAACAGCTTAAAATCTGCCCATGGTAATAGCATATGCACGTACACTTTTTATTATTATTGATATAAATATATTTCTTTGAGCACATAAAATATTTCTGTTTGCATCTTGCTCCACATCTTGCCTCTTGGCATTTATCTGAAAAATAAAATCATTCCAAAAGAAATATCTCATTATATACAATTCAGTCTTCAGATTGCTCCCTTTTCAACTGAGGGGAAAAAAATACGGGAAACATGGATTTTTGTAGTATCCCCAGGATTCTAGGTTCTGAAAAACTGAGTTCTGAGTGAAGTTTCTTGGCTGAATAATACTTGCCTCACATTTCTACTTGCCTTTCATTGCATTGCTTTTGCTCTGCAGAAATCGTAATTGTGGCTGACAGAGAAGGAAAAATGCCTAAATCTCAAATTATTGAGGTACTCATAATTTACAATTAAAAGCATAAATTTCACTCAAAAGCTTGGTAGAATCTACTGAAATGCTTATGATGCTTGTGTGAAGTGTCCATCCTGTGAAGCATCACTTGGCAAAGAGATGAGAGCATTTTGCGCTGCTCTCAGATTCAGAAGGGCCTCAGACTGTAAAGCACATTACAGTAATATGTTGAAGCACTAGCTCAAGGCAGGGTTATTGTCACAAGGAATAAAACAAAACATGACCCAGTCATCACTTGCTTTTTCAGAGTAGTGCAGGATCTATCAGAACCTTCTACCTCATCAGCCATTTGAGAACAGCAATTTTGTCGTTCCATCACGGCTGCCGATATAATTTGAACCAGAGCTTCTGTTGCTTTTCCCACTAACCTGCTCTCTGCTTTGTTTGGCTTCAGTTGCTTCTGAACAAATCTCTTTTTGAGGCCCAAGTTCAACCTGACATTGAACAATGTGTTGTGCTTGCTAAAACCCTTTTGATAAAAATAGGACCTATATTTTACCTTGTCCTAATTTGTTATTGCAAGATTCTTCTATCCTGGCTTGCAGTATCTAGTTTTATTGAGATCCCATTTAAAAAAACCCTCTATATCATAATAAATGACCTTGAAAGTGTATTTAATTTGAGTTTTTTACTGAATTATAGGTGCCTTGAGATTGACATATAACAGCAAAAAATGAAAAATTAAAACTTGAAGGTCATTTATATTCATGATCATTAGCCTCTACCATTAATTCAGTTATCTAACTTGATGAGAGTTTTTTCATGCTCACCTTGTTACATGTCTGGCTTTATGATTATTCCATGAAGACAGTCATGTAAAACTAAGAGAAAACATTGAAACATTTCTTTTCAAAAATCTGTCTTTATATGCTGGGAATGGAAATCAGAGTTCCAGCCTTATCTAGCCCTTCATAGCATCATTATAATATCTAAAATGTCAGTACAGTGGTTTGCTCTGCTCTTTTTTTTAATTGACCATGGTAATTTTTACTGAACCACATCAAAAGTAGTGACGAGCCATTCTACTCACAAAAAGCAGAATACCACCTCAGGTGAGGAGCCATCTGACAGGGAAAAATTCTGATTGGATGAAAGAGCTATAGAGGCCTTAGTTTCACTGGCACATAAGAAGACCTGAAAATGTTTTATACCTGCTTTGATGATATACAGAAGATATTTCTAACTTTAGACTGTCAAGAGATGTATGAGGAGAACTGGACTCAACTAAACACTCAGGGTCAAATTTCTGTGTTACTTTTTTACACCTTTGCTGGCAGATGAACTTAAGCACATGACATTCCCATCCTATACCTCTATTCTGTTATTTGTGGAAAAGAAATAGCAACATCCAGTCCATTTGCTAGGTACTATTTAAAATAAAGCAGAACCGATCTCCATATTCACACTCTTTGGTATTGCAGTACCTGCATTTGTCATTGCCAAAGGAAGAAGTACAGAATGAATATGCAGTTCTCTAGACCCAAGAGAAGATGTTCAGGACTGTCTGCAACAGCACTCTTTCTTACAGAGGTGTAAAAGCTGGCATGATTTGGAAAAGGGGAAAATTCTATGTATGATTTTTTTCCTTTTTTGTACTTTCTGCCATGTGTATTCTGAAGCCTGTAGAACAAATATTTCAAATTTCTTTGGGCTAAGTTATGGGAATGAGGACTTACTGGGTTTTCAGGTTTTCTTATTTATTTCCTTTAAGAAAACCCCAGAATTATGCTGGTCATGTTTACATATTTGATTCAGAAAAATAAATAGTGTGGCCCAGAAATATATAATGTTATCTGTTTTGTCAAGGCCAGCATATTTTTTAAAATATTCAATACATTTTCTGGCTGAGAGTAAAGAGCATAGCTCTATCCCCAAACTATCTCAACAGGCTTAACTGAATTTTTGGGTTTTTTTAATAATTATGCATTTGAATTCAAATAACAGCTTCCAAACTGTTAGGTGTGTTGTGCTAAGCAATGCATAAGCATATGGTAAGAGGTTATACCTGAGTCATAGAATGTATTATCTAGATACTTACTGTAATCAGCGTGAACATAAATTGTACTACTATAATGCAAATCAGGCTCCCGTTTTTTTGTGTCAGTCAGTGTCCAACGTTATTGCAGAATTAGAGTGATTTCCTAGTGAGACAAAATGCTGTGAGAGCTAGTATTTGGCAGCAATTTACTTCTTACTGTTGTTTGGCTTTTTATTTATATATATAAAATAAAAAGATGCAAAATAATCACCCTCATCATATATATCTGTGTATATTGTGAGGGCGATTGACAATTTCAGAGATTTTTGCAGTCATTTAAATAATAAATGCTTTGGTAATTTTCCTATTCTTGCTTTATTTCCTATTTCTTACTGTTTTCTTCTTCTTTTCTCTTTTTTTTTAAACTATTCAAATTATTTGCTAGAAAAATTTCAGAGAAGATATTTTTTAACTCTGTATTGGCTCTTCCTGTTCAGTCAGTAGCCGCTACAAAATAGTATTTTTTTATAACAACTACACATACACAAAGGTTTCATTTCCAAAGTTAACTGTCTGCTAGGGCTCTTGCTCTTCAGTGACCTGCTAACCCACTCAAAATTTAATGTTCTTCAGCAGCAGCTCTGCTAAACCTATTTCTAACTAAGATGAATAGGCAGACATGAAACAAAATCTTTGATGAAGGCATAAAGAAAGTTTACATAGAAAATAGGGATCCACACAATAGATGCTGGTGGCAGGGGGATAGCAGTCAGACAGTGACAGTTTCATGTTTGGGATAGTGCACATTAAAACTAAGTTTGATGATTTAACTACAAAAATATCCCTTGTCCTTCTCTCTTTGTAGGAAAGTGGCATCTTGGGATGAACTGTGAAAGCAGTAATGACTTCTGTCACCACCCCCTCAGTCATGGATTTGATTACTTTTATGGGCTTACTGTGACCAATTTTAGAGACTGCAAACCTGGCCAAGGCAGCGTATTTTTAAAAGGGGTTCAGAAAGCCCTTATCTTCCCAATCCAAGTCGCTGGAATCACCCTTGTCTCTTTGGCGATAGCGCGGTGCATTGGCCTCCTCAATGTACCTTTCCAAGCATTCTGTTACTGCTTGTTAATAATCACAATTTCACTTGTGGTTTTGATATTTTTCTTCTATCATTTTCGACACTTAAACTGCTTCTTAATGAGGAATCATCAGATTGTCCAGCAGCCACTGTCCTATGAGAACCTTACTCAGAGGCTGACAAAGGAAGCCATGCAGTTTATTGGAAGGTAGGTTTCTATGTTATGAGTCAGTGTTGCCATTTCACAATGATGATGCTTCTAAAAATTGGAAAAAATATGAGCTTGTGGGCATGAAGAATATGTCATTATATATAATCATCATAATTTTTTCCTTGAAAAGATGACTGAAGCTAATCTTCTTATTGAAAGTGACTGTTTGGGGGGTTTTCTATCAGTTACATAATTAATTCCTCTATAAAATTTTAAAATTGTTTATGTTTACATACTTCAGAATTTTTTTCAAAAAATTGTCAATTTTTTTTAGGACTTTTGTTATTAAGAATTTCATGTAACTTGAAATCTGAAAAATCTTTTGCGGTGTGACTTAATTATGTGAAAACACAGTACAGAGTCATAATCTATGACTTTTCTGGAATGGGAAACTTTTTCATCGACTTGATGCAACCATTAAAAGGCATTCATAAGACAAATTTTTAAAGATACTGGCACTTTATATACCTCCACTTTTATGGCAGATTAATGTTGAAAATATTTGACTCACAGAAGTTAGGGTACAGGGCTCTTTACCTGGGGAAGAATAACCCCCAGCACCAATACAAGCTGGGGGCTGACTTGCTGGAAAGCAGCTCTGCAGAGAAGGACCTGGGGGTCCTGGTGGATAGCAAGCTGTCCATGAGCCAGAAGTGTGTCCTACTGACCAGGAAGGCCAATGGGATCCTGGGCTATGTTAGGAAGAGCACTGCCAGCAGGTAGATGGAGGTGATCCTGCCCCTCTACTCAGTCCTAGTGAGGCCACATCTGGACTACTGTGTCCAGTTCTGGGCTCCTCAGCACAAGAGAGAGGTGGAGCTCCTGGAACAGGTCCAGCAGACAGCTAAAAAGATGATTAGGGACAGGAGCATCTCTTATGAGGAAAGGCTGAGGGAACTGGGCCTGTTCAGCCTCAAGAAGAGACAACTGAGAGGGAACCTCATCAATCTATGTAAATATCTGAAGGGAGGGTGCCAAGAGGATGGAGCCAGGCTCTTCTTGGTGGTGCCGAGCAAAAGGACAAAAGGCAACGGGCAGAAATTGATGCACAGGAATTTCCACCTGAATATGAGGAAGAACTTCACTGTGCAGGTTACCAAACACTGGAACAGGTTGCCCAGAGAGATTGTGCTAGAGATCCTGTGCTGTGTGCTCTAGGATGACCCCGCCTGACCAGGGAGGTTGATGACCCACTGTGATCCCTTCCAACCTTACTCATTCTGTGATTCTGTGAAACAAATGTTTTTTTTGAAAACAATTTTTTTTAATAGCCATCACATTGACCACCTAAACATTGGATGTACAAAAACATCCTAAGTCATTGTTCATTTTTTCTAAGTTAGCTACTTTGCCATGGCTGTCACCACAGGGCTTCTAATGGGATGAAGTCATAAAAGTATACGTTTGTATATTTGGAAATATATATCAATATATTTGGAGAAAAAATATTTCATCAATTTAACTTTTTGAAAAAATATGTGAAAGTATTTTTCTTGATCCCTTTTGATACAGATTAAAGCATTTTTAAAAATACTAAATCAAAGTAAAAATATATTCTAAGACATAAAAGTCCCTGAATTATTATTCTTAAAGTATGTACCATTAATTACTGTGAATACATTCACATAGTGTCATTGCTGGATGAAAACATATACCAAAGAGTCAGAGGCTAAATTTTCTAGACTGAGTGACTGCATGCAGCAGCTGTTTCTAGCTGTTAGCCAGAAAAAATGTTTAACTAAAATCTTGATCTTATACTGCAATTTTTCTGTCATTTCTATCATTATGATTTGCTGTGGCCATCTCTACTCATCATACCAAAATAAAAGTGTTTTTATATCAAATTTCTTTAAGTGAGTAAGTTTTCCCAACAATCAACATTCTCATCAGTATTTATAAATAAACTAAAACATCTTTATTTCCTCTTGGCAATAGTGATAAAGATGCCTTCTCAGCTACATTTAACTGTGAAGTACTTTGTTTACTACAAACACAAACATATACATTGAAAATTGTTGAGAGGTTATTTGCTTAGTGACCAAGCATTTGGTGATTTTAAAAGACTCTTGAGTACATTAACTATATGTTGGTATATTCTACCATTATTTCCAATATATAATGTGCCTGTAGTGATATTGTTTTGGGTATCTATGAATGTTTCATTGATTTCAATGGCATGACAATAAAATGGTTGCCCCAGAACAGGTGAGTTCAAGATGGGCAATCAATGGTAGAAAAACAGTAACTCTTTTAACTTTATTAATATGTTTAATGTGCACACTGTTATTGTATAGCTTAGTGTCATTATTTGAGCCCAGTGTTTAGAGATGGAAAAATAACATATAATCTAAATCAGCACAGCTTTGCTGACTCGGCTGGAGGTAAGTGGCTTTACATCAGCTGAGCACTTGGCCCTAAATCTTGATGTAGTTTCCAGACAACAGTGATGTTAAATTGAAGTCAAGGTTAATAGCATATATTCGTAATTTACAACAAACTTTGTTACAGGAATGATGCAATTATAGTGAGAATTATAACCCAGACTCTTCAGAGTCATTGTTAAATTAGAGAATATCTAAGCACATTAAGGTATTGAGAAGCAATTAAGGCATTTGAGCAATCTTAACTGTGCCCTTTAGTGAATTCACATGCAAAGTATATGACCATAAACCTTGCTCCTGGGGATAGGAGTAATTAGATTAATATTCACTGAACTGATGTGTCCCATATATTAGTGAGAGCAACAAAACCAATATTTGCTTTGACACACTGGTTCTGACATTATATAGTTCACACCTGTCAACTCCAGGGCACAGGTAGACCATTGCTTTTATGACTACTCTACTGACTTTGGCGATTTGTTGGTGAATGGCCATGAAGAGTCAAGCAGGTTTCAATAGCATGCAGACATCTGGCACTCATAAATGAAGGGCCACGAGGTTTTGGGAAGCCACAGTTGCTCGACAGCATTCTTACCATTCCAGTTCTTTCAGCCCCTTAGTCACATGTTTGAATATTCAATTTGTCATACAGTCTCCTTTTGTTTAGATGATACAGTGAATAGCAAGCTCAGTTGTGTACATAAGTAATTCTTGTGCACAAGTATACCAGAATGCAAACAATTCTGAATTTAAAGAATTCAAGCATTCACCTTAACTGGTTCTAAATACGCATTTTATCATCAAACTAAAAATCATCAGATATCATGCATTTTTTAACTGGTCAATTATCTTTAAAATAAATATATGATGAAGCTCCAATCTTCAACACCACTGTTATTTTCCTGTAAAGCCCTTTTATATGCAATGTGTATGAATATATATTAATAATTCCAACATAAATGTTATAAGTTTATTATACCTATTGCCTATATTACCTCTGCAAGTTCTTTGGGGTTCAGGTGATGACCTTCCTGACATTTTCTTTTCTAGCTGATTCTCAGTCATACTGTCAGCTTTATGACTTCTTACTATGTATAAACATCAAACTCTTCAGAAGGAATAGGCAAGGAAGGAGATGTGGTGGGGTAGCCTTGTATGTTAAAGAGTGTTTTCATTATCTAGAGCTTAATGATGGTGGTGATAGGTTTGAGCGTTCATGGGTAAGAATCAGGGGATAGGCCAACAAGGAAGATATCATGGTGGGAATATGTTATAGACCACCCAGCCAGGATGAAGAGGCAGATAAAATATTCTATAAGCAGCTGGGAGAAGTCTCACAACTGCTGGCCCTTGTTAATGTAGGGGACTTCAGCTTACCAGATGTTTGCTGGAAATACGGTACAGTGGACAGGAAACTGTGTAAGTGGTTCTTGAAGTGTGTAGAAGATAACTTCCTGACACAGCTGGTGAGTGAGCCAACCTGGGGAGGTGCCCTGCTGGACCTGCTGTCTATGAACAGAGGAAGACTGGTGAGTGATTTGATGGTTGAAGGCCATCTTGGGTACAGGGATCTCAAAATGCTAAGAGTTTTTGATTCCTATAAAAGTAAGGAGAGGGGTCTGCAGAATTATTACCTTGGACTGCTGGAGGGCAGACTTTGGCCTGTGATTCTATATAATCATTAGAGTTTGTTTTTAAAGTCATCTTATAATTTCTTTATAGCATGTAGCTATGTGCTGTTGTAGTTACTTTGGTCTGCTTTTTTTGAGAGGTGAAATTGTATTTATCTTCCTTAGTCTAGTGTACTCATATTACAATTTTTATTTGTTCCTAGATAGACTGAAAAAGAGCAAATACAAAATTCGATACCCAGAAATGGCACTGGAAACAAATAAATACAATTACAAGAGTCAGATCTGGTGTGTGAAAACAAATAGTAATTTAGTTGCTTACCCTAATTGTAAGTGGGCAGGTCAGCTCAGTGTGTGTTAATTCTAATTACTTTTTCCCAAGGGGAAATGTGTTTACATATTGCAAACCTGTAAGAACACTCTCTAGATACTACAGCATATTTGAAAGTCAAATGCATGCTAATTATTTCATGTTAAATTCAACGTGGTTGTCACTCTTATATCTTCAGCATGCCCTTTAATGACCAGCTGCACAGAAAATCCAGTTTTGGAAAATGCCAGAGACCAGTTTCTAATGTATAAAAAATTAACAATACGAAAGTACCACTCTCTGATACAGAATACCTCTCTGACAAATTTGTATAGCTGGTCACAATTAATATTTAAAAAAATCCTAATGAAATCTAGTTTCTGGAAAACAATATTTGCATACAAACGTTTATATTTAAAAGGTATGGTGAAGGTGAATTTGAACAATTTTCTTGTCTATTTTTTTCTGTCATAGATTGCACAGGCATAATTTTTAAAATTTTGTGATAACAGTTAATAAATTTTAAATTTTCATTTTATCTATTCTATTTTAGTCCTTGAAACATTGTTGCAACACATAGTCAGATTTTTTTTCATCTACTTAAGGAGACTGGTTTAGAGTTTTTCTATATGTTACTGGGTCTTAATATCTGGCAGTTGTCATTTTATACTGGAG